CAGAACGAGGAGTAATGGTCTCAAGTTGCAGTGGGGGAGGTTTAGATTGGATATTAGGAAAAACTTTTTCACTAAGAGGGTGGTGAAACACTGGAATGCGTTACCTAGGGAGGTGGTAGAATCTCCTTCCTTAGAGGTTTTTAAGGTCAGGCTTGACAAAGCCCTGGCTGGGATGATTTAACTGGGAATTGGTCCTGCTTCTAGCAGGGGGTTGGACTAGATGACCTTCTGGGGTCCCTTCCAACCCTGATATTCTATGATTCTATGATTCTATGTCTGCCCTTCGAGCCAGGTCTCTTCCTGCTCCCTGGATAGAGTCCTTCTCCAGAGACAGGGGTCCATGGATATCTGTCAGCTGCTGCTTTTCCCTGGGACAGCACATAGTTCCAGGCAGGCTGGGCTTCCTGCCACTGTTTGGGAGACTCCTCTGCTCAGACAAAGTCTGACTTCTGCAGCGCTCCCTTTGGGAGCCTCCTATCTGTAAGAATGCCTCCAAAGCTCACTGCTCTGGTGGGCTCTATGGAGGAGAGTTCCCTCTCTCCTGGACCATACCCTGCTCTAAGAGCACACCTCCCTGCTCTGGTGAGCTCTCCCGGTGACGTCCTCTTCTCAGCAGCTTCCTGTCTCCTTGAGAGTGCCTTCCCTAACTGATGTTGGGCAGCTTACTAGGTCCAGGTGCTGGTTTACTAATTAATCACAAACATTAACTTGGGGCAGTTAGCCGCCTTAAAAGGGCAATCGTGGGCAGACAGGGCCCTGACACCTCTTAAAGGGGTGGATGCCCCATGACAGGCAGATACAATCCTTACCATATCTTTTGTTTGTTTCCCCACAACCTATTAATATCATCTGCATAGATCCTCATCCACCCAACCAGGATCCCAGCCCAAATCTCTACAAAACTTTGGGAGAGTTGTATGGATCAGATAGACAGAAAAACACGGCTGGATGTTATCATCACCATGCTAAAAATACGGTAGCCTATGTCATCTCTTAACCATTCCAATGGCTTCAGATACCTGGGGAACAAAATGGAAAACTAGATTTTGTTACCTTTAGAACAGCCCCTCCCCACACTGAATGTCCTTCCCTTCAGGCACAACCCCCAGGGGTGTAGTTCCTGGCACCACAGCTGAATGGACTGCCAAGAAGCTCTGGGGGCCACCAGAGTCAGCGCAGAAGCACAGGGTCTCCAGGCAGATGGCCATGTCCCTCTGAATGATACCCAGAGATCCACAGGTTGTGGAGGCCCCAATATCTGCTTCTTTCATGGCAGACACAAGAATATTTCAGAATCCATGATAAACCTAGTTCTGGGGGGCGGAGGGGGGTTGCCACCATTCTCTTAAGGTTTGTTTTCTCTCACCACATGGGTTAATGGCTTAATGTGGAATCTCTTTGAAAAGGCATCTGGAATTTATCAATTATTAGGAAGTAAATGGAGTTTAGTGACTCCTTCTAAATTGCACTTATCACTGACAAGATCATTTTTAAAAGCAGTTTTTGTTTTTGCTGTTAAACCTTAAATGATCAAGCTCAGGATAACCTCTGATTCATAAACAATGAAATGGACTACTTCTTCTCTAATGTAGCCACTCCCCTGCAGAGAAGGTTAACTGGTTTCCTGCATAAGGTTATTTGCCTAATATGGATATTTTTATGATGACTGAAGAAGAACAAAAATTATAAATGGGCAAGGGGACAATTATAAAACAGAGCGTAGTATGTAGAAATAACCTAGGCTTCAACTTTAAAGAACAAAAAATGTGTTATATATGACTAACTAAGTCAATGATACAATGGCTGGAGGGGAGGGATTCTACTCTGAGTCTGATCCAAAGCCCATTTAAGTCAGTGGAAAGACTCCCATTGACTTTAGTGGGCTTTGCGTCAGCCCCTGTAGAAGGAGATGTTTTAAAACTGGTATAAATATTACTTTAAAATGTTCATTTCTGATCAATCCTGTGTCGAATTATTGGCTTTTCTTGATACGCAGCTATAATAGATAGATTTAATCTAATTATATACAAAAAACTGTTAAAAACATTATTAAGGACACCAAGTCAAGCACTCAAAAGGTAGGAAATGCCAGAACTAAATATTGTGTATTTGCATTATGACACAACCATTAATTGCATGATCCCCAGAGATCCTAATTTTCAGTGATAAAAACAAAACAAAGCAAAATTCTCTAATTAAAAAAAAATCTGTGTTTTTCCACAATCAAAAACAAAACACTGAACTTTAGTTTCCCTAGCCATAATACCTATGTATGTATGTATGTATTGAACACAATGTTTTATTGATATGTTTACAATATTTAAGCTGACAGCCTGAGCCCTGCAGCCCAGGGCTGTCAGCCTGAGCCCCGCCCAATGGCTGTTTCTTTTCTAATAATGGTTTTCTATTAAAAATGGGACTTTGTTTTATTCTCAGTAGCACTTCATTGACAATTTTCATATAATTAATGAGATTATTAAATGTTAATTTATCAGTAATTTTTATGTTTCTAATGGCTAATTCCACAAACCAACTTCTGACACCGATTCTCCTGACTATATAAAAAAGGTTAAACCACTGTCCAGCTGAAAAGCTACATTATAAACAGGATACTATTTTAAGTAATTTATTACAAGTAGAAGAAGTTGTTCTTCCAAGATGCAAACTGATGGGCATAAGGTTTTATATTTTTTGTGAAAAGCTTGAATAAGCAAAAAAGAATTAATAGTAAAGAGAATATGTCAGTTATATGAAGCTATGTTTTGGAAGTGAGTGATGGCAGGAAGCCATGCTTGGAAAAGTGCAATGCTATATGTGTAAAAAGAATTAAAGCAGTTAATGGCTTAGTACACTATATAATATAAAAATTCACTCCTGTTATTGTATAGTCACTGATTTGGAAAATACAGCAATGAAAAATACTTATGTTTGCTGATAGAATGTTAAGCTCTGTGCTGTTAGCTTCAAAAGAAAATAAGATGCTTTTTACAGTGTGACATTTTGTCACAATCCCAAAGTTTGAGCACTTCTGCAGCAATGTAATCCCTACATTTATATTTAATCTAAAACTTGTACTGTCAACACAAAATGAGAATTAAAACAGTAAGCTGGTATAAGGAATATGGAACTATTGTTTCAAAACTCTCCCTCTAACAGTTTGATCCTGCAAGATGATTGATTTATGCATCTCCCAAGCCAACTAACAAGATGATCAGGCCCTATGAAAGGTGAATTAGGTTTGTTGAGGTAGCAGGGCTATTACAGAGAGGTATACCTTTAAAAGATATTTCTTAACACTGTATGAATGCCAAAGAAAAGTCTTCTCCCACCACTTGGCAGATGATCTGTGTTTTATTTTGTGCTTCCAAGATGAATGAAGTTTCAGTGTGTATATAATTAACAATACAGCATTTCAATCAAATACCAATGTAACTAAAAAAAGGCCTAAAACAAAATACAGAATCCTGAATTAAAAGTGCTTCTGTAGTTTGAGCATATATGAAATGGAGAATAAATATCTTCCATAGGAAAGTTACAAAAATGTACAACCTGATGCTAAAAGCTTTATCTAGTTCTTCATTTTAAGGATTTTCTGTTTCTCAGAGTGTTTACTTCATTATATGCTGTATCTATTCAGGTTCCATACTTACCATACTTCAGAAGATCCTTCACAACCCAAGTGTTGGAACCACCTACCCATTCCCTGGGGCAGCAAATCCAAATCCACAGTAGAATGATTTGGTGGAAACACCGCAGTGTGCCTAGCCCATTCCTGTGTTGTTTTCCTTGAGCTTGGGGTAATCAAGCCCATTAATACTGCCTCCCTTGTAAATTAAAATGGTACAGTGATATCAAAACTAGAAATTACAGTACCTGGGAATTATACATTAAATTACCATGCAATGTGCACAATGTAAAAATGAAGTAACCGCAACATAATTTATACGGCAATCATGTAATCATGGAGCCAGTCTATAGAATAAAGTGCTGCTTGACCTTTTATTTTCAGATTGTGCTTTTTCTGTAGCTCAGATTTTTCCCTAAATAAATCATTCATTATAGTGCTTTTAAAATATAAGGTCAAGCTATCCTGAAAAGGTAACATTATTCATGTACTCTGATCCCTCATAAAAGGTCTAACATGTAAAATGAAGATTATAGAAATATTGAAGACAATGGTTCCTTTTGACCATTTCAAGCTAGAGCATTTTTAAAAAATGGAAGGAAGAGAGTAACTAACTGTCTTGTACTATTCCCTTCTTTCACTTGATTGACAGTAAATAACTCCAGAAAGGGAGAGGGGATGTACTAAGGACCAGGAGTACTAGAAACTCCCTAGAAGTGTGTGTGGAGGGGGCCCACTGGTTCCTGAACCATGGCCATGCCCCCTGCTCTCTCATCTCTGCCCCCTCTCCCCATTGCTCACCCTTAAGGCACATAAAAAGTTCCAGTGCCCCTGCTAAGGGCACAGACTCCTTGAATATCATTTAAAACACAATCCAGTCTACTGGAAAAGTATAATTAAAACCAGTGCAGTAAGTCAAATTTACACGTTTCCCTCTATTTGCTGCTAGTCAGACTACGTCATTACTCAGGCAAAATTCCCACTGAGGACAGGACTGGGATCTGACTGGGTAAAAATTAACCAGAGAAAGCATGTAAAGCAGACTTGTCCACTGTATCGAGTACCGCTTTCATATATTTTTTAGGAAGAGAAAATAAAATAAATTACCTTAGCTTAAACACTTGAGACCTTTGGTATTTTACAATGGACTGATGCAGCTAGAGTGCACCCTTAGACTTAGAGTTAGTATTTCTCTCCTATATATATTTTTAAGTTATTGATGTAAGTCTTCAATAACTCCATTAACTTCTGTGCATCTACTGCAGATTTACATCTGTATTCCAGAAAGCAGAATTTGGCTCTATTTTGTTATACTTTATATAATATTGGAAACAGTATGGAAAAAATACTTGCGTGAATTAACGTTTTCAATTACCTAGCAGTTCCATTGCATCATCCTCATTGTCGATATCTTCTTCTGTCACTGAGGGAGCTGTGCTTTGAACAGAATCAAAAGAGTCCTGGGAAAGCATGGCAGCCAGTAGCTTCTTATGTTGCTGTTGCTGCTGTTTTAATCCTTTGGTCTTCGGCTCCATCTTTAAACTGGGCAGGGAAAAGCATAACCTCCTTTTACCATTACTCTCTCTACAAAAAAGTACCTTTACAGCAGCCATTTCATTCACATGAGCAAATGAAACCATTTAATTAATAGACTAATTATTTTCAGGGCTGTTTTTTTTTGCTATTATAAACATCCATGCAGAAATTTGGCCTTGTTCTTTTAATACCGGAGAGATTGCCTCTCCCCTCACATGTAATCAGCTGTGGAGTTCAAGCTAATGGACCACAAATTTAAACACCAAGGAGATCTTGGTAAGGCACTGCAAGTGAAAAACTGAAATTCATTCCAACATTGGTCGGACTAGTCTATCAATATTCAGATCATGGTGCAAGGCCCAGCTCTTAAACAACATAGGTTTAACCTGCATCATGATCTTAATATTAAAACTATAGGTTAATGTCAGTTGGGGAGGGGCAGCATAGTCCTGTGGCTAGGCCACTGGAGTGGGAATCATAGACTCATAGGACTGGAAGGGGTCTTCTGGTCCAGTCCCCTGCCCTCATGGCAGGACTAAGTATTATCTAGACCATCCCTGACAGGTGTTTGTCTAACCTGCCCTTAAAAATCTTCAATGATGGAGATTTCACAACTTCCCTAGGCAACTTATTCCAGTGCTTAACCACCCTGATAGTTAGGAAGTATTTCCTAATGTCTAACCTATACTGCCCTTACTACAGTTTAAGCCTGTTGGTTCTTGTCCTAGCCTCAAAGATTAGGGAGAATAATTTTTATGTTCTTGAAAACTGTTCTGTCCCCTCTCCGGCTTCTCTTCTCCAGATTAAACAAACCCATTTTTTTTCCAATTTTTCCTCATAAGTCATTTAGACCTTTAATCATTTTTGTTGCTCTTCTCTGGACTTTCTCCAATTTATCCACATCTTTCCTAAAATTCAGTGCCCAGAACTGAACACAATACTCCAGTAGAGGCCTAATCAACACAGAGTAGAGTGGAAGAATTACTTCTCGTGTCTTGCTTACAACACTCGTGCTAATACATCCCAGAATTATGTCTTCTTTTTTTTGGCAACAGTATTACACTGTTGACTTATATTTAGCTTGTGATCCACTATGATCCCTAGATCCCTTTCCGCAGTACTTCTTCATAGGCAGTCATTTCCCATTTTTGTATGTAACAGGGGACTATTCCCAGCTGTATAACCATAGATGAGTCATTTTGGGTAAAAATTTTTTAAGATTTAGAACCCTCAGTCCTGTTTCAAAAGCTTCTTTATCACAGGAGCCTAGGCCTCACTGAAAATCAATTGGAATTAGGTGCTTCACCTCTATGAATATGCCTACATAGCAATAAAAGACCCACATCACAGCTGCAGCTGGTCCAGGTCAGCTGGCTCTGGCTTACAGGGCTTGGCCTGTGGGGCTAAAAATAGCAATGTAGACATTCAGGCTTGGGCAGAAGCCTGAGCTCTCAAACCCCATGAGTGGTGAGAGTTTCTGAGCTCAAATGTCTACTTTGTAATTTTTAGCCCCACAGCCCAAGACAGCTGATTCAGGCTCTGATACACTGTATCATGGTTTTTTTATTGCACTGTAGATGTACATCGGCTTCCCCTCCCACCATTTTCTGTCTTGTCTATTGAAACTGTTAACTCAAAGAGGAGAAGGACTATCTCTTACTAGGAGTAGGTAAAGTACCTAGCATAACAGAGCCTCCCAAACTTGGTTGGGGCCTCTAAGCACTACTGTAATACAAATAATTAATAACAACATTAGCGGGTGTAAGTGACTGAACACTAAACAAGTCTTCTCCTTTTGACAATATATATTTAATATTGCATAATCTCGGTGACACAGTAACTATATCTCAAGTCAGGGAAATCATGCATGAATCAAACAATTTTTATCGAAACTAAACTTATGTACCTTCACAGGCTCAGGCATATGAATTTTAATTTTTGGAGATTTTCTGCACTGGGCTCTTTGTTTGTGGGGTTCAAAATTTCATGCATAAATAATGAGGTATATCCTACTATGTAGGCACTTAAGTACCAAACCACACCAATAAAGCACATATTTGTGACATCTGAGCGGTGGGATTTGTATCCCCAATTAATTGACCACACACTCACAAAAACCATCCTTTAAATATCAAACCTATTTGTATTTTGGCACATTTTATGGACCTTGGTTATTTACCTAACATATTTTCCCCACTTGGAGTCTCCTGTAAGCTAATGTTTTGTTCTTACTCACTGCTCCACAAATATTGTCCGAGGTTTGTCAGTCTTATCCCATGCTATTACCATTCCTCCACAGCCTAGTTATTTATACCCCTGCTGTTTTGTCATGGATTCCCTGATGGCTAGTAGTCTCCAGTGCAATCCGACACACAGTTTAAAAAAAAATTAAACTTTGTACAATTGCCTACCCTTTAGTTCTTACCTAAGGGTCTCATCCAATGGCCACAGAAAGACTCCCACTGACTTCAAAGGGCACTGGAACAGGTCACAAAGCATTTACATATAAAACTGGGGGTGGGGGGGGAGAGAATCATACCAGCAGTAAAGCCAGTTACAGATGTCTTATTGCTGTTATGGCAGTGTCTCAATTGGCAACACTAGTGAAAGCTTAGAACCCCCCAGTGTATGATTAAATCATCATAACCACATCATTTTAATGTCTCAGTGTTTTCAGAGTTTTGCAATATAAATCCTCTTCCCCAATAAAAAGGCAAAAAACCCTATCTTACTAGTTTTGTAAGTAAAAATATATGCTTTCTTTTAACAAGCTTAAAAGAAATACATGTTTTTCAATGTTTTCCAATTTTAATTTTTAGCTCAGCTGGATTTGCTTAGAAGAGAATAGAATATACAGTATCTTGCCAGTAAGATTGATGTGTCTTAAGAAACAAAAATATTTTTTATGGTTCATGATCTTCACCATAATATTTTTACTCACTTGAGGTATGAGAAACAAAAAAGCACATTTTCGACCTAAAAAAGAACTATGGACCCAGTTCATAAAAAAGATATCCAAAATTGGGTGGTATTTCTATGCGATTTTTTACATGTAACTGAAAGTAAATATTCATATTAAAATACTATATAAAAATATTTTAATTATGCACATGCAAACATGTGGTAAGGATTTAGGTAGTATTGATTTATATGCAGATAATCCACTACAGATCTAGAATATCCTCTCATAATGCCCATACAAAGCTTTATCACAAACTCCTAGCAACCTTTTTAAGGACTGGACTATCCCGTTACTTCTAAACCAAAATTAGGAATAGCCTATAACTGTGGGGATTAATTGGGGGGGGGGGCAGTGTTGTATTAATTTAGATGGAATATATGGCCCAAAGGTGTTAACATAGCCCATTCTCTGTCCAACGTTAAACAGTATAACCAGGGTTCACGGTTCTCTTTTGATATAAAGAGACCATAGCCTGCTTAGTACTATGGCAAAGACACAATTAAACATCTTGTAAAACTTTTATTCAAGACTTAGGAAAAGGAGGGAAAACAAGTTAAGTCATTTGAAATGTAAAGTATTAAGTAAGGCTTTTATTTTAACAGCATTGCTGGTTCTCTTTCTCTTTAGCTGGAGAGAGCTTTTAGTAGGAAAAAAACCCCTTTGTTTGATAGTCTCTTAGATGGTATTAAAGATGATAATAACTGTCCTTTTTGAGGAAAAGAAGTTAATTGAGATGGACTGGAGCTCTCATGGTTACTGTTGCTGTTACAGTCCAATCCCATTTCCCAGAACGCAAAATAAGACAAACACACACAAATGGAGAGAGAAGAGAATGACAGAGAGAAAATGCAGCTTCTGTCACTGGTGATGACTTTCACTTGCAGCCTCGCTGCTGGAAAAGCACAGGCACAGCACGTGGTCTTATCAGCCACTCTGAGACCTGGCAATATAAATGGAATATATGTTCCAACATCAGGCTGTTTAGGGCATTGCTTTAGCTCCCTCTTTCAGAGATTCAAAATATGCAGTCTTGGCTACCTAACCCAGACTCTTATCAGACAGAGGAAAAAGAAGAGAGGGTAGGAAAGATAAATAAGGAAAAGAAGGAAAAGGTCACATTTGGGGGCGGGGAAGGAGACAAGGTCTCACATCTCACTTGGTGTTTGTGGTTCAGACTGAGCTGGCCATGTCATCTGGCTCCCTCTTTCTGGCCTAGACTAGTAAGGACATCTTTCAGGATCAGGATAAAGAAGATTCTGGGATCCCAGGAGACAATAGGGATGGCAGCCATGATGGTGAAGCTCCCTCCAGTAGCCAAAGTCTTTCTTTAAGGTTCCACAAAGGGTGTGGTGGGCAGAACAGCCTATCCCTTCATTACTTTGTCCACTAATTAAGCCTAATTTCCAACACACCAATTTTGGTTGATAGCTTTTTGGTATCTCAAAATGTTCTTGTTTACCAAGCACGATCATAACACAGTCCTTGAATTATATCTGTAGGCCTTTTAGTTTGTAATAATTCAGTCTGTCTCCCCTTTGAAGTTTTTCCCATCAACATTTGTTGTTCCGGGTTATTGTGATACTTTATGAACTTTGACTCACTTTTCACAACTGAGGTCACAATTAGGGTAAATTTTTATGGTCCAGTTATCACAACAGTACAAAAGGGACCAAATTCATTTATGCGGGAGAAGGGGAGGAAAGGAAGAATGGAGCTGATTTCTCAAGGAATTGGGGACATGCAGGGAACAGGTTGAAGTTTGCATAAGCAGACCCCACCAAGAATCATGCATCTTGCGTGAAAGTCACCATTTCCCTTTAACCCACAGAAGGGTCCACTGAACTGAAAGTCAGGAGACTATGTTTTTTAGTATTTCCTCTTCCAGTAACGGATGTTAATATTTCTGTGCAGTTCATGATCCTTATTACTGATCAAGCACTTGTACCCATAACCTAGGATTCAGGCAGGCACCTGGAGATGCAAGATAGTTGGTGGCTGTGCCTAAAAGAGGACCCTTGGAAATTGGGGAAACCCCAAACTACTC